CTCCTCTGGCAAAACTGCTACAGCTGCCACCTTTGTTTTGATTTCTTCTTAAATATGTTTTCACAGAGGTGTAACCACCATGTCCAATTGGCCCAGGTTTGGTCAGTGGCATGTCCATCATCCTCAGAGCCAACAGCAATTAACTCTGCTGGACATGGTGGAAGCCTCCAGAAGCTTCTCACAGGAGCCATCTTTTTTGTGCCCCCTCCCCCCAGTCTTCCAAAACTGGGCCAAGCAAAACCAGCACATGACCATAAGGCTAGGATTTAATAACAGGGGTGAGCAGGACAGTATGTCACATTGTATTTGCCTTCTGTTTCTTTTGCTGATGTTTTTTCCAGTGTCCAAGACATTGTCTGAAGCATGTGTAGCTATATATCACTGAGGTGCTGCTTCCAGCATCAGGCTGATCCTCCTTGTTTTGATTATGTTCCCAGGAACTGTAGAATCCTTGTTTTGTAGCTGTTATTTTACATCCTAATCCAAAGGTTCCCCCTCCTAAATTCTTACTCCCTGCATTATTGTACACACATACTGTCCATACATACGGCCCACCACAGAACTATTTCTTTTTTCTTTTATTCTGCTATTACCTGTCTAGTGGGAGCTGTGCTTTTCATTGTTAGGGCTCCCCATTAAGTCATCCTTTCATGTGGTTTACCCTAAAACACAGTCGAAGTTCTTTAGGTCTGTTACGTGGTCATAGTGGGATGAGACTGTGAAAAGAGAATATTCACTTAAGAAGAGGRCAACAGAGGAGAACTAAGCACTTCTCCCTCCTTTCAAGTTCCTATTGGGTTGAGCATCAAGTGCTCTTGAGTATTCAGTACTAGAGTAGACTTAAAAGGAAGTGTTGTACTTCTCTGAGTCTTGGTATTATGACTGTCACACAGAAGAGGTATCATTCATTTATCCTTCTTCTTTTCTCACTAAAACATAGGTGGTACAGGAGTCCTGTGGTGGCTCTATGCTAAACGACGAATGTCTGCCAGTGGTCTTGAGAATCAAATAGCCAAAGACAATCTTCAGGCTCTCTTGATCTATGCCATTGCAGCTACAGTCTTYACGGTATGCTTTGCCAATGACTGTATTATTCTCTTGTTGTCTTCTGATTAGTCTCTATTTTTTTATTCAGGTGAAAGCATTGTATTGCACACATTTTTGAACAGTTTATTTCTGCCACAATTTCTGTTGAAGTGATTTTCTTTCATTATGYTATTTTATTTTTTTAACTTTCAGGAACTGTTCTGTAATACCTGATTATGAGTCAGGGGAGACTTTCTAGGAACTGTACTCTAATATCTGATTTTGAGTCAGGAGAGACTTTCTAAGCCTGCAGCTACTTTCATCTACTGTAAAATGTCCACAGGGACTTCCAAGAATAGGTATGATATTGGACTGCCGATTCAAAGAGATTTTTCTTAGGTTCTCAGTTCAGAGATACTTAGTCATTACAGTGTATTTAAAAGTCCTTAGTCTACTTCTGAAAGAAGTTGTTCTTAAGTGTTTGTGAACTGAAATACCCTGATTATTACACACTTAGTATTGAACCARTTTATCTTCTTTGGACCTTGCTGTTCATTTCAGAATCGCTGAATTTTCTACCAAAAATGGACAATGTTTGACTAACTTCACAGGAATTRTAGACTCATTCTTTTGTTGTACTTGTTTCACATACTAATCCAAAAGTTCTTCTCTGTTCTTCTCTGTTGATTCTTATTCTCTGTGATATTATACATATATAAACATACATCCTATAAGGCCACCACACCGTGGTCACGTATAAATTTTARATTAACTTTCTGCTGGAACTTGCTGATTTCACCGTCTTGTAAAACATAATTGAGGATAAAACCTGGTCTCGTCTCATCAGTTTGAGGCTGATGAGGATTCCAAATACATAATTATGAGATTGGAATTCCCCAGAAGTATAATTTGGAACATAATTTATCACCAGAAGAAGCTGATAGAGGTTTTACGTTTTGATCTTATAGAGATCAGTGATGTCTCTATCAGTGATCTTATAGCGACAATATGTGYTAATTTAGAGTGTTTTAATATCCTAGCTGTGCAAAAGAGTAACTTGATTCTGTTTCAGTACCCTGAAATGTGATTTGGAAACTTCTCCCTCTAGGTTATCTTGTTCTTGATCATGTTAATTATGCGCAAAAGAGTAGCTCTCACCATTGCCCTGTTCCATGTGGCCGGCAAGGTCTTCATTCACCTGCCGCTGTTAGTCTTCCAGCCATTTTGGACATTCTTTGTGCTTATCCTCTTCTGGACATACTGGATCACAGTCCTGCTTTTTCTTGGTACTACAGGTAAGAAGCTGTCATTTATTTTAAATAAATTTCACTTCATTTTTGTATGACTTCAAGAAGAGTTGGGTAAAAAGCATGTGGGAACCTCTAGGAAAAAAGCCCACTTGTTGTGCTTTTGTTCCTGTCTGCTTCACTGACTTCAGAGTACTTGTTTCAAGAAAGTTAYTGTGCATTTGAGTCTGTACTCCCAGCATGGTACTTTGTGTGTGCGGCTGGCTTTTTGATTTGATGTAAGTTGGCTTGCTGCAAACCATGAGACTTTATTAATAAAACTGCTACAGCAATTTTTCAAATAATTCTCTCTAATTTTACACACACAGGTTAAAGGCAGCATAATTTTGGAGCTAATATCATCAAGYATTGTGTTGTAGACAGTACTCACACAGACAAGTACATAGTAAGGGAAGGGCCATTGCGCATAGTTACTGTGTCCCCCAATGTCAACATTGTGGAATTAGTTTTTAGTTCTTTGTAACTCAGGTGTCCAGTATTATTCCATAATTATTAGGGAGATTTTTGTGCTGTTTGTACACTGTATTCAGTAAGAGCAGCCAATGTACTCTTAATTCCTGCCTGCTCTTCAATACATGGAAGGTGAAAGCTTTGTTTGTATTCAGTGTCTGACAAGAGCTTCTAAAGTTAATCAATCCAATAGGTCCAAATCTTAGTCACTTCAGCGAAGAAACATAGCAGATGCTTTTTAAAAAGGGAAATGTCTGTTATTTTCCAGTACATTGTAGGTAACAGAGACTGTCATTTGATATTAAGTATCTTAAAATTTTGATATTAAGTATCTTAAATATATTAAATATCTTAAAATTTGAACAACCTTTTATGTTGTTTACTATTGATCCAAAAGTAGCAGTGTTTCAAGTCACAAAGCTATTTCACAAGATAAATATTTTTYGTATCCCGAGTTCCTGGCAAGGGTTGGAGGCAACAGAATTCATGTGTTCTTGTTGTCACTGCTGTTGAAATTTTTAGTTGTCACTGCATGCTGTGCTATGTGCAGAAAATGGTTGCCATTGAAAGTCCCAGCCCATGCTTCACTTTCTGAGTCAGACCACTGCACAGGAACTAATTTTGTAGCAGACTGTAGTCAGATATTRTAGTCAACTGACAGAAATCTTTAACTGGCCTTGATTCTGCAAAAGCTAATTTATCTTTTCAGGTTATATGCACTCAGTATCATCACTGTTATCAGTTAAACAAAGTGTTTATGCAAATAAGGCCAAATCCTTGTTTACTGATACCAGAATTATTTCAATAGTTAATTTATTCACAAGAAAATCTGAATTCTATGTTTAAGTATAAAAATATAACTGAGAATGTGGATAACGTGCTGTCAGTGCTAAGTCAAAACAATGGTTTTTGAGGTAAGCACTTTACAGACGCAGACTCACTTGGAGTGTTTTTCTGAATCTCATCAGCTTTCATGTAACTTGTGTAAAGTAAAACATCTCACTGTGGGTTAACACATTGAAATAGAACTTATCCTAGGAGTGTTCTGACATCCTCTCAGTGTCTGTACATGATATTGCTATTCACATTAGCCAAAGAACCAATGGATTTCTGAATATATTAAATCATATATTTAGAATTTCCGAGGCTGTTCCATATGTCCTTTAATAGCCTTAGAGCTACAAACATTGCTAAAATATTTGCACAAAAGCTTACTATAAGGAAAACAAAAGTGATTGTTAGTGTTGACACCTGAATGTAAGGAGCTGATACCGATTCTTGCTGTATGAATACTGATAAAGCAGCAAATTCAAATCAAATATGACTGAGACTTCCATTATGTTTAACTAAATTAATTTTGCTATGAGATAGTGGTTAATTGTGGAAATTTTTTTAGTGGGTTTTTTTTTTTTTTCAAATACCATTATACTGATTGTCTGAAAAGCTGTATCTTTCTTAAGAACAATCTTCCTAAACATGACATTTAAAAGTGTCAGTAGAAACTAGAGGGGTTCTGCTCTAACTGGTTATGAACTGCTAGTACCATGTGCTTCTTTCTTTATGARTTGATTTAAGCGCCATTTTCTTTTTTACCCTCATTTATTTCCAGGTAGCCCTGTCCCAAATGAAGAGGGATTTGTTGAATTTCGGATGTCAGGTCCTTTGAAATACATGTGGTGGTACCACGTAGTGGGACTCATCTGGATCAGCGAGTTTATCCTAGCCTGTCAGCAGATGACAGTAGCAGGGGCTGTTGTAACATACTATTTTACAAGGTAAGAAACAACTTAGATAGCTCTATCATAGGTAACATAGACATTGACTTAGCAGAAATAATGAGGGACAGAGGTTTTKGGGAGCATATTTGCATCCATTGTGAAAACCGGGGAACAGTTAAAATGTCTTGAATCTTTTTAAATTCATGTGAAGTCTTGAAATACCTGTTTTGCCAATTATAGATGGTGTTCCTGRCATTTAAGACTTGAAGTCTTGTTTGCTTTGTAACCTGTCCTCATTCTACAGACRTGGATGTTTACAAATTAGGGTGTGCCTGGAAGATCATCTATTTGGCTAATAATTAATGCTGATAAGATCTGTAGAGGTTAAAAAAATACTGAAAGCAATTRATTATTTTTTTAATTGCAAAACAGTGCCCTTTTAATTATTTACAGGGCTTCACTAATCTTCATTTATCTTTCTCTCACAGGATTACTTAAGATCTTATTAGAGTCATCATTTACATATAAATTCTGACTAGACATATATAAATAAAAATATACGTAGAATTTTAAAGCTCCACATTTCATTGCTATGTTTGTGTACTGAATTGTGTGTCAGTTTATTGAATAATATACGCAGGTATTTTTTCAATTGCATGATTCAGATCACAAATGTTTAATTGGCTTGTCTTTTTAATTGAGGCTGTTATCTGAACTATATTTGACTCCTTCTCTGCCCTAGTCTTTAAAACAATACCAAAAGCAAGGAATCAGTTTATGGTGCTGTCAGAAATTTTGTTATTTTATTGATGATGAAGTCCTCCAGTATACCAATGAAATACATCTGTGAAGTTATTACAAGATGTTGCAGGGATGTAATCTTGTGAATAATTAAACTAGACTGAGCATGGAATGAGGAAAATATGCAGGAAAGATAATAACTCCGCACTGAAATAAATTGCATAGTAAYGTGTGTGCTTGGTCTATGTAAGTTTATGCATTTGCTATCACCTGAGGGTGAATGATTTTTTTTTATCTATACCCTCTAATTCCATAACAGAAATTTTATTTTAAGTTAGTAAATACTCATTTCTCTCTACTGTTATCTTCTTTTTGCACTTTAAGGTACAATCATAATTTGAAAAGTGACCTGTAAAAATAGAAAAGGCATTAATTTGCATTTACCCATTATTTTGCATATGAGCAGCTTCCCAAATCAAATGAGATAAGGTTGTCCATGGAGAAATGTTGTATGTGTTTTGTGTTCGTTCATCTTAACCAGATGGATTCCTTTCAGGCAATAAGAGGCCTCAAAATGTTCTGCATTACAGACTTTGCCCTGAAAATGAGGAAGTGTTTGGGTTGCCAGGGCATAAGACTCAACCCATTTATGTGTTTTTGCCCAGCAGGGAGTAAAATAAGTCTTTCTCTAAAAGTTAATGGAAAGAAAATACAGGGTAAACCTGTCATAATCGATAACATTTCAGGATTACATTATGCAGATACTAGTTTCATGGAATAAAGAATCTATTTTATTACCTTTTCTGAATGAAATTTACATCTCTCCCAAGCTGGGGAGATCCTTATTTTTGGAATGTTAGCACATGTTTCTTAATATGCTTATTATCATGCTGTTATTTCTAATAAAGAAGAAGAGCCATTTTTTAATAGTGCTATTTTTTGAGAGAGAAGTAGAAATTACTTCCTTGGTAAAAAAGAAAAATATCAAATTGTGAAAGTGAGTATTTGTTTGAAAAACTAAAAATATTCTAGCTACATTGCATTAAATAACTTGTTTTAAGGTTCAACACTTGGTACCTTGAGAACACAATAGCTAAATCAGAAATGGAAAAAATCTGAGAAAATATTGTACCTGATCAATTAATAATATCCTCTCCAAAGTCTACACAAAGATCTCCAGCAGAATAAGAAAGAGAAGGCAAATTTATTAGTAGTCTGACTAAAATAGTATTAGGATTGTTTCTTACTTTTTTTGGAAAGTTTTGAATTGCACACTGTCAGATGTAACTTTATTGGAATCGCCATTTTTTATAGTGGTAATGCTAGTAAGACTACCTGTTGCCAATGAGTGTTTTCAATTGCTCAGTGATTCCCTGGCAAAGGTATTGGCAAAAGTAGGTTAATGTAAAAAGGAAAGTGTGACAGAGTTCGTTGACAGGATTCACTCTACCACTTAGTAGATGGTTAAACACACRGAGGAAAAGTAGGACTAAAATCTAAAATCAATAAATCTAAAACTAAACCTGAAATTATTTATGTGGAAACTGTGGGTGGAAAAAGGTCAAGGATGAGAAAGCGTAAGCATGAAAAAGAATGAGGGAGACCCTCCCATTAGGTCTTACCGCTTACAAGGTTCAGAGTGGATCTTCTTGCCACTCTTAGCCCCATACTTGACAAACAGTTTAGGCCCAAAGATTTTAACAGCACTTAGACTTAATATCACTTAATCAATAGCCTAATTTACCAATTTAACAAGAGTCTATAGAATTTACTGTAAGCATAGCWGTAACTCAGTTATAGACCTGACTTATTTACCAATCTAACATTCATGGTACATTTGCCCCAGCACTTCACATGTGTATGTGTATAAATTGTAAAAACTCATCTCAAGTTCAGTGAAGTGCTCACATTGGATCCTTTGCACCTTCTCAACAGGYAAAGGGTTGAGGTTTGAGCAGTGAGGTGTCAGCCCATACTTTGTCAGCATAATTTGATGTTGGTCCTCTGAGAATCACAAACTTGAGAGTTCATTGCCTCTTGAGAGGCCCCACTCAGAGACAGATGCTGGTCACAGCCCACTGCGGTCCAGGAATTTGTGGAATTGCAAGAGCGTTGGTTTTAGTCATAGTAATTTTCCATCCTGGCCCCAATTCAGGGCTGTAACTTTCTTTGAAARTTCCATAACAGAAATGTTGTTCCAGTTAGATTGTTATTTAGGCATGAATACTATGTTTACTGTTTGTTTAAAAACAGGTGCTTGTTAGACAAGACAAGCTCCTGGGAGCAGATGTGTTTCTGAGAAGCTCAAGGAGCTGAGCCCAGGTGCTCTTTGCCAAGACTGAGGCCTAACAAGCATTTCTGAGATCATAGTGCAGCCCAAGGCAAGAAGGGAGAAAGGAGATGCACCACCACACTCATCTCTGGCATACTGATTCCTTATCATTGTCCTACTTTCTGCATTAGAGACAAATCTGTTACTTACACAGATTGTCAGGGTGGAGTGAATAATATATCCTGAAAGCTAGTATGCGGATAATATTCCTTTTGCACATTACTTTATTGAGAATTTATGGTACTTCTAGATGATACCACAGAAACACAGTCATTCTACTTCATTTTTTTTCTCTTTTCAACAGGGAGAAAAGAAATCTGCCGTTGACTCCTATTCTGGCATCTGTTAGTCGCCTTGTTTGTTACCACCTAGGAACAGTAGCAAAGGGGTCTTTCATTATCACACTGGTGAAGATTCCACGAATGATTCTTATGTATATTCACACACAACTCAAAGGAAAAGTAAGAGAAATACACTCCATTTTCTTACTGAAACTCAAGGCCTAGCAAGTTTTACCTGTCTGTTTAGTCAGCATGGGAGGTTGGAAGTCTTGTTTTGGAATAAATTAGGTGGAAGAGAGAAATTCTTCACTATGAGGATGGTGACACACTAGAGCAGGTTATCTGGAGAATTGTGGCTACCCCATTCCTGGAARTGTTCTGAGCTATGTTGAATGAGGCCTTGAGCAACATGGTCTAGTGAAAGGTGTCCCTGCCTGTGATGTGGGGAGTCCCTTCCACCCAAATCATCCTGTTCTATAAATATTTAGACTTTACAGGACCATGGGACTGGTAAGAATTGCTTAAGTTAGCTGGCTGAATATGGGTTACTGAAACACAAGGGAATATTTTTTCTTTGAAAACTCTTTATCCCTGTTTTCCCACATTCTGTGCTTTCCTAGGAAAATGCTTGTGCTCGCTGCATGCTTAAAGCCTGCATCTGCTGCCTTTGGTGTCTGGAAAAGTGCCTGACATACTTAAATCAGGTAAGATTTTCAATATTCAAGTCTTATGTAAGGGCCGATATTAATACATATGTTCCCAGAGTGCAGTCTGATGCCAAMACATAATATATTGTACTTTGGAACTGAACTTGAATAACAGTTCTTCAGTCTTGTCTCCATTACTGAAATTACATTGCAAATCATTACATCAACCTTTGGAATGTAATCAAAACCTAAAAAATATCCAATATTCATTTTTGTGAACATAGCATCTCAGCTTTATAACAATGTGTTTAGTGGTTGAAAACATTCCCCATTACATCTACTCAGTCAAACTACATCTGAATTTCAAAATATTTTTGCTTTGAAAAGAGAATTAAGCTTTTCTAGGTGTAATATTTAAGATTCCAACAGGGCAAAAACTATAGAAAACATAAAACTTAAAATTAATTGCAAAGTGGAAAAAGAGTTGCAAAAYGCAGCACACTGGCTGGTCTTTGTAAAAGACCCCTTGTGAAAGTGGGCTTATTGGTCTGTAGTTCCACTTCTTATATATGTATATAAATATCTTGCTAGTATCTCTTTCACTGTTGTTAATAATTTTTACTTGTGGAAATGTAATAAATAAAATAATAAGAAAGCATTTTAAACCCCCTATGTAATTCTTGAAAACTGTCCTCACTACCCTTGAATGCAATCTAGTTAAGAATCTAGAAATTATCTTGGTTGACTTGTGTGACACTCAAGCTCTTTTATAAATCCAGATTTTTTTTTGAGCTATTTAATTTCTGCTACTGTTCTCCTCCTCCTGCAGAGAAATTGCAAATTCTGCTTAATGAGTTTTTTTGAACAAACTTGTTAATGCATAAATTATGAGCAAGGGAGGAGAAGAATAGTAATTCTTTACCTCATGTAATCTTCTGTCAGCTGGTTCATATTGCTTGATTCAATAATTCTCAAGGGAATTTTTGTTCATTAAAATCATGATGAGTGTGAGTTACTCAGAAGCTGTATCTTCCCCCTCACCTTTCCCACCCTTCTAGCTGAAATACCTGATAGTTCTATGAATAAATCTTCAATCTCCTTTTCTCAGAATGCATATACAGCCACAGCTATCAACAGCACCAATTTCTGCACCTCAGCAAAGGATGCCTTTGTTATCCTAGTGGAAAATGCTTTGCGAGTCGCTGCCATAAATACAGTTGGGGATTTTATGCTGTTTCTAGGAAAGGTATGTCTGCTGCATACAATTGTTACAGATCTATGCAGAAGCCATCTTTAGCAATGTCTTGCACCCTGATACAAAATGCCTTAAAAATCCTCTTTCTTCRTGTGCACTTTATCACATCTAGTTGCATCATATTGGAAGGAACTGTCCAGGATAGGGAGCAGCTTAATGATCCACTTAAATTTAGAAAAAGTGACTGGAGAGGAATAACTGAAGTCTATGACACCTTTTGCATGGTTGTTTTAGGGAGTCAACAGAAATGTGATTAGAAGTTCTAAGGTTTTGATTTTGTGGTTAAAACACAGAATTGTAGGAAAAGGAAGTTTTTCTTTTAAATTCTGTTTAGTAAGAACGCTTCAGGTTTCTGTTGAAAATTTGATGCATTTTTGATCACACTGTATGACAAAATTGGACTGGAAGAGTACAGTAGGCTGCTATGAGAAATTGCCAGTTTAAGCAAATAAGTTAATTGTACTCTGAGTATTAACATGAGACTAGAATAATTTCTGTGGTCAGTCAGCATTTTGGCTCTCCAGCTGATGGAGATACACCATATGGAAATGTAATCAGTGAATTATTTCTATCCTTCRAAGTGCCATTCTCTCCTTCTGTGCCATCATTTATTAAAACAATGCCAATCTACTTAAATCACTTGTGCCAAAGCATTTGGACACTAGTTGCATTGATTTGTATTCCTGATTGCATTCCTCTGCTTCTGTTGAATCAGACTATAGTGGGCTGAACTTTGAATCCAGTGATTAAGTCAGTAAGATGGGATAAGGGATAAATGCATAAGGGAGATATAGGTGCTTCAGAGAACATGAAGTTACATAGCAAAGTTTTGTTGAGGAGTCTGAAAAGTATTAGGAAACCCCCTCCTGAAAAGATGTCTCGGATTATTGGAAAAATGTGCAGGTGACAGAAATGTTGACATAAACAGTGCATATAAAAGTAGTATCAGCTGAAACAATGCTACTCTGCCAGCATCTCCTCTACCAGTTCAATGTGTGGTATTTTCATAAAAGCTGACTTATTTTACTATTACTGTTTGATTGTGTTTTGTAATAATAGGTTCAGAAATATTAAAAAGTTGTGGCCACACCAATTTCATTCTTTTGTTTTTGCAAAAACCAGACTGGTACCCAGTGAAATGTCTGTTAGGCTTCACACATAGTGTGGTTCTGTGGAGTCTGTTACATGAAGTGCTTTACATGAATTCTGATCTAGTTTCTTCTGTATGGAGAGGAGGTAGATATTAGACAAGCTTGAAAGTTGTTTCCAYTGGCAAAGTGAAAAACATACCATCCTCCTAGTCCTAACATCTCCCTCCCACTCAAAGAAAAAAAACAAAAAAACAACTGCCTGTTAGTTGATGCATTGCTTCTGGTTGTGGGGTTCATATCATTGATAGGATAAATGCTTTTTTATGGGAATGTTGTGTAACATTTGAACTATGACAGCAGAATATAAATGTACTTTGCTCTGAAAAATACTCCTYATGCTGAAGGATGTGTAACAATTGACTTGCATCTGCTGAAAAATGAATTAATGTTGTTTWCCTTCAGGGATAGGGGGAATCCAGGAGATCTTGTTACCCGGTGTCTGTAACCTCTAGTTCTAGCTCTAGCTGATCAAGAAACATACTGCTCTAAAAAAAATTAACCAAACAAAAAAAAAAAATATCAAAAGGCTTCTGTCATTAGAGTTGTCTACCATTTTCTTCTTCAGGTCTTGATTGTCTGCAGCACTGGTTTGGCTGGCATTATGTTGCTGAATTACCAACGAGATTACACCATCTGGGTGCTGCCACTCATCATTGTCTGCCTCTTTGCATTCCTGGTTGCTCACTGCTTCCTTTCCATTTATGAAATGGTTGTTGATGTCCTTTTCTTATGTTTTGCCATCGATACAAAATACAATGATGGGAGCCCTGGGAGGGAATTCTACATGGATAAAGTTCTCATGGTAAGCTTCCCCTTACTCTCAGAGTCTAAGGATCTGCTTTCATGAAACGGATGTTTTGACAGTGGAATGAAAGCACTAGCTGAGTTCAGTATGGGCCTTTTTTGGTTGGGTTTTTTTTTTGCCTTGCCATCTTGTTCRTGGCTTGATCAGGAAACTGTCATTTGATTCGCATCAAGTAAGTAATGATGACTCCTTCCCATGGTACTGGCTTCTGTTTGCTAGTTGTTAGATGCAGTCATCTTGCAAAATATTTCTCTTGGGTGTCTTGTAAATGACACAATGAAGACTAGAAAGAAGCAAAGCAAGGAGAGAAACCTTGGTTTTTGTAGTTTCTTAAGAAGAACCTCTCTTTGGATGTGAGAGAGAAGAAATATTAGAGTATTCTTCCTCACACATAGACACTGACCAGAGTTTTCATACAGACATTGACCAGAATGCCTGTTTCTATGTTTGACTTTGTCACACATAGAAATATTAGGCTTTATGTTCTATCCTGGAGCCTACTTGCTTTGTCAAGACCTTTTGCAAGGCAAATTGATTTTGTTCATTTTTGTTTGATGTTATTCTCTGTTCACTCTAACTAGAAACCAAGATGTAAAAATTTTTCTTCTCAAGTCCTTTATTGTTGAGTAGGGAATTTCTTGCCAGTGTTTTTAAGTGGCAGCTGTGGAATAGGTCTCTRTAAAATGTATTTTCAGGTGTAGGCTAGAGGAAGATTCTCATGTCTTCTTAGCATAATTTTAATTATTGTGGGAAAACCATGCCGAGAATTTAGTGCTAAATTTTTTGTAAACCCCTACGAAATCTAGGCTATATAAGAAATTAAGCAGCAGCTGATGCGTTGCTTTTTAACCAAGAGTATGAGTAAAATGCAGCATACCCTCTGAGAAGARAGCATTGATAAACTGCAAAAGCATTGTGGGTTTTAGTCAGCAGTCAAAATCACAAAATCCCAGCAGGTTTTTCCTGGGCAATTTACTGAAATTACCTGCCTTTAAGAGAAAAAGAATTCTTGCCTTTAAGAGAAAAACAAATGCTTAAAATTGAATTAGCATTTTTCTTCATGAGTAGGAGATTGTGATTGRTGAAAAATATAGGAAGTTGAATTGAGGAAAATAAGGGAAATCAGCCAGACCTTGCAAGTAATTATCTTCAAGTCCTCCAGTTTAATGAAATTCTAACATGCACAATTCACAGGATATAAAGCAATTAATGGGATTCTGGTTTGTTTGTGTTTTTTGTTTTGCGTTTTGGGTGTGGTTTGTTTTTGTTTGGGTATGGGTTGGGTTTTTTCTTTGAAAACCAGTCTTTTTTCTTCTTYCCTCATAAAGGAGAGAGCATTGCATAGTAAATGTGGAAGGTACACAAGGCAAAATACCTATCTGGCTTTCAGAATTAAGTAAGGGAGGCCTGTTCATCAGGCTTTCTTGGTACTTTGTGCTCGAGTCTCAGCAAGAGAAGTGGGAGATGCAGATTGTCCTGATATTTTGTGTAGTTACATGTTGAAGTTCTGTCTTGAGATTTGATGTTTGGAGTCTGCTTTATTGAAAGCACTTGTCATTTCCTTACTCTTTTTCAGGAATTTGTGGAGAATAGTAGGAAATCTATGAAAGAAGCTGGCCGCGGAGGTGGAGCTGAGGGCAGAGAGCTAAAACCAATGGTAGGTGCAGATGAGGAGGTGGCGATCCTCCAAGAGTTTCACTTTTACTTCTTCTCCCTCTTTGTCTTTACTGACTGCACTTCTTCAGGAGAAGTTTTTGTTCTCTGTATCACTCAAGATGTTCTGCTTTTTCTGTTTGTGAGCTTGCCTATCACCTGGATGGCAGAGTTTTTGTCACAGCTGAGACCATCTCCTGTAAAAGTAAGATGAAAGGAACTGTCTCATACAAAACAAATGCAGTATCATTTTGTTAGGATTAGTGGTGCATGCTATRTGGTATATGCAGACAGCCCCAACTGCTGAATAGTCTAAAAATAAGATGGCTCTGAGATTCATTGGGCTCATCTCAGCCCTGAGATGAACAGTTTTTGCTCATCTTACCTTCACTGCAAAAGCCTGAAATGAAGAACACTACTGAGTGCATCCATTGTTGTAAAGTAAGACCAGGTATTTAAAGCCCTCACCAAATTATCTTACACAGTGCCAAGGAATTGAATACAGTGATTCCTTTCAACCTGCTCAAATGACATTTCTCCTAGTTGTTTGTTTTATTGCCAACTACTTATGTTGCTTGTCTCTTGTGTGCTCTTTCCATCTCACACTGTCAGATGCACAGACAGTGAACAATGCATCATTTATGCTTCTGCAGCCTGTTTTACTTATGGTGTGCCTGTTAGGAAGGCATTGCATGTCTGAGTAGCCTGAACTAAGGAACACTATACATGGTACAGATAACAGATAGGAGGATAAGTTTGGAAGGTGGAGAACAGAGAGCGTATAATGGAGAGCCAGGCTGGGCAAGGTATGATTTGTCATCRTACATTACAACTTTGTGAAATAGAATATTTTTCCATTATCACATTTTCAGAATGTTTGGGGTCTTACTCATTTCTGTACCATGGGGATAATTTTTTAACCGAATGGAATCTAAATAAGTGTATGCTAACAGAAGAATTTCTTTTTTCAACAATGTATGTGAAGCCATGTTGCATGAGCATTTTTTGACAAAGCTGGAATGGGTTCTTGCTATAGACTGGATAGATGTGTAGCTTTGCGTGTTTTGCTATTTCATTATGACATACCAGTTTCTAGATTTGCTTATGCCTAAATGCTGCTGTGTTTATACATATAAAAAACTAATTCTATGCTCATTTACTGTTTTCTTCTGGGAGTAATTCTAGCTGGTCACACAGACACTATTGTTGGGATTTTCAGAGCAACCTGAATGCTATAAATGCAAATGTTAGATTAAAATGATTGAGAATTGGATGTGCAAATGCTCTAGTCATATGCATAATAATTTCAGTTCAAAATTTTATGTTAAACTCTAATTCAAATAATTGGTTTACCTTAAGTGGTTTTCCACTTTTGCTGTCGTCAGAGCTAGCACAGACTGCTACTTACACTTTTGTGTTTCTCTGTCTAAAGTTTGTGTGTTAAAAAACTTTATTAACCCTTGCTCCTTGTAAAAGTGCAAACCAAGTACTTGCAAGTCAAGGGTGATCTTAGAGGAACTTTTTTCTAGGCTCTTGAGCCTGGTAATGATTGAAAGTCCTCATAGAACTGCTAGGGAAGATGCTAAGCACTTGGGGACACAGTATGCAAGTCACCTGCTGGATTACTCCCAGTTCTKCTGCTCATGTGATTGTCTTGTTTGGAACTGTTTGGGCCTTGTGTTTTTCTGTTTTTGGGCATTCAGCTCCAGTTGATTAGATTTTGAAATTCTAGGATCTCACTTCGTGACGAGGATAGGACACAGCAGTTCTATTTCTGATATCTTTCCGCAAAGTATTCATAGAGAACCTCGGTTATATCTAGAATAGGATTATTCATAAGTGTACTATGTAAAAGTAGTGCCCCTAGTCTCAAAATTGCATGTCTGAAAATAAGATCATTATTATTTTTTCTCTTCTTTTAAAAATTGAGTTTTTACTGTTTTGCTTCAGTTTCTTTGAAATGCAGATGTGACAATTATTTCTGCAAGTAAAACGCCCTAAGTGCAGTTGTATTTAAAGTAGGTATTAATAGGGATGACAAAATACTTAGGATGTTCTGTTCTCGTATCAGGGCACAAGAAAAAAAAAACACTTATTCATGCTTCTTTCTTTATGGCTTCCAGCGACCCCTTTGACTCAGTTTCTCCTTGTCCTTTGGCATTTGTCTAAGACTGTACTGTATGACTTTGTTTTCTAGGCCTCTGGAGCAAGTTCATCTTGAAACTAGCCAGCCATATTGGAACCCATTGACATTCCAAAACAGTATATATATACATATATACATACATATATATATATATATATATATATATAAAAGTAAACAGCCAAAATCAGAGAAAAGGAACAGGGATTTAAAACTTTTTTTAACAATTATTTTTGTGAAACATGTACTCTTTTCATACGGGTGGCTTTTACAAGCAGCTTTATCATTGTTTCATTTCTTAAATTATTCGTTGTGATCATGGAAATGTTGATTCTTATCTGCTTGATATTTTAAAATCTGGAGGAGGTATCATTGTAAACATAATCCGAAATCATGACTGGGTTTAGAGACAGATTTCCCATGATACTGCTAATCTGCTGAAAGTTTTGCTTGTTTAATTTCTTTCAAATTTGCATTAWATTTGGGACAGTGACATGTGCAGAAAACCTTAAAATCAAGAAAGGTCTCAAATTCAGTTTTTCAGGAGGTGGTTTCAGTGAGAATTCATTCAGTTCAAATGTGTTTGCAGGCATATTTTACTTTACAGCCCTGGCAGGGCACAGTTTTGTTTAACAGTATCAGATATCACAATAACCAACTCCTCAGGTATTTAGGTGTGTGGGAGCCCTTGCATCTCCTATTAAACAGAACCTACAAAATGGGGACAGCTAATTTTTATATGCAATTGACTTCCTGCTTACCCTACTTAGTCCTGATACCCATTGCCCTCTGTCCTCCCGTTGAGTTCAGTAGCCTCCTTCACACTTCAGTGTTCCTTTGAAGGGTATGGATTCTCCATACGGGCAATTGAAATAACAGATTGTTAAAGCTCTGTCTTAGCCATACTCATGATTAATTCATGACTAGATACAAAGATGCTGAGGATGGGAAGAGAAATGAACTGTACTACTGTACATAAAAAAAGTGCTGTATGCTTCATTTCATCTAATGAGAGAGCTCTGGGAGGTAGAAGGGATCATTCCTTGCCTGTTGTTTAATCCATATTTGTACATACTGTAGTGGGTGACTAAAGCCAGACGGGGCAGAGAAACATTCCTTTGGAAGTGTAACTGCCAGGATAGTTATCTGAAGTTATTAAATAATGACAAGAGAACAGGCTTTTTTATTATTATTATTATGATTAGATACATAAATTACTTTTCAGTCTGGAAGCCCACCAGATATGAATGCTAATATTCAATTATTCCGCATAGTGAAATGGTAAATGCTTAAGTGTATTTGCTAAGAGTTATGATCTGTCTATGCTATATATTCCTTTTGTTACAATTTTTTTAAGAAAACTATTTTTGTTATTGTAAAGTTAATATTTCAGAGCAGAATTTTTAAACTTATTGCACTAAATACAAGCTGTCTACAAATAATGATGCCTCAGTGGTTCAATCACTCCATTCAAGAAAATCCTTTGAAAGAGTAAGAGCCTTTCTAGAGAAGCTTTGTGATGGAGAGGTATGTCTCTGTAGAGACATGCACAACTCACGTTATCAAGATTTAGTAAGCAGTTACCTGTGCTTCCTTTCAGATGATCAGACTTTTAAATTGCTGCTGAAAGTTCAAAAAATTATGTAGTATCATGTAGCTAATTAGTGCTCTTATCTTTTGGCAATAGTAAAATGTTTCACTTTTGCTTCCAGAAGTCATCTGATAACTTAAATTTGTTACACTTTTTTTCTGTAAGMCAGTTAAAACTATTTACAGTTTTCATATCCATAAACCCCAAACTATTGGAAAGATATGAAAATAAAAATATATTTAGAAAGGATAACTACTGGGGAGGCTAAGGGAAGAATTATCCAGTCCTGGAAGCACTTACACAGTCATTTAAGTGAACCATGTATGTAACCCCACTACCATCAGGAGGGCTCTCTAAGTACAGAAGTTRTGACTTACACATCTGTGTAAGCACTGACTGGATTAGAACTTCAGCCTAGGGATTCAAAATGGAGCACTGGTGAGGCCTCTCAGCGCAAGTTAGAGGTCAGACTTGCCCAGAAGAARCACTGGGAGCAGCCTTACTCTTGTACAGACGAAATATTTCTGCAGTACCAGTGTCTAAGACAGCAGTAGCACTAACACGAGTATTTGTGTAGATCAGTGGGGTTTAGCAAATTTTAAAATTGGCTCAGATGAGTCCTMGAAACTGGTTTTCAAGGCTAAAATACTTATCAAATACCCAGTTGCTTCCAGAGAAACCAGTTTTCTTCTTGTTTAGACGTAATTGGAGGTGCTTAATCAAAGAAGCCTTTATTCTGCTCATTTTGTTAAAAAAATTCTGACATGGTTCTACAAGTTTGTGTTCTCTGCTCACTGGAAGTTTTGAGTAGGGACTTTCCTCTGTAATTGCAACTAGGACTGCAGTTGAAAACAAATTTTGTATTTTTGTATGACTTGACTGTGCACCATTTTTATAGCAGTTTATCCTGTCTTAAAATTTATTTATTTACATGGTGTTTAAAAGATACAGGCAGCACTTTTCTATTGGTAGTTGTAATGTTTAAGTGAAAAGCCTATATCATTACAAAGTTCTTAATAAAAACGTGTGCACCATTCTGAGTGTATATCCAGCATGCGGAGCTTTTCAGTCCTGCCAAAAAGGCATTCCATCCACACACAGACTTTCCAGTAGCCCTTTAAAGCTTTTGAATGTCCTTTGAAGTTCATTTGCAACCAAACTACAAGCTGCCCTCTTCTAGGGCTGCTCTGTCTTGTGCACAGAGATAAGCAGAAGACGGGATTCTGAAGAGACAACTTTTCAGGACCAATTTAGACTCTGCTTTCCTTTTGGAGTGGGGATAGAGGAGTGGGAGGACATTTTGGCATGTAAATTCCATATATAAATTTTGGCAGTAGGGGTGCTGGGGTCTGCCAGCTATGATGAATTAAATACTTTTTCTGACTGTTGGTTATTAAAGCCAGTGTATGGACTGCTTTGTGGGAAGCAGTCTAGACTTTGTAGAGAGCGATGCTGCACTGGGAATAACAATGCAGGAGGAGCAGACGAGACAGCTGAAACAGAAATAATCTCAGAAAGTCCATTGAATTGAGTAGTGCTCAAAGAGTGGAGATTTAGGCTGAGCAAGTTGGATTTAGAAACATTGGGAATGCTGCTTCCCAGCACTTGGTTTCTGCATCAAAGCCTCCGACCAGCTAGGTTTYGAAGGAAAAAAGCGTGCCATTCCTCAAGTTGTTAATTTTTTTTCCACAATATTTTACTCTCTGTTTTATATGGAAGTTGAATAGCACTGTGTCATCTYTATTGCTTCTTCCAGCCCTGGAGAATACTTTTTGGTTGTTCTTTTGGGTCTCATTGCCATATTGCTCCTTGAGTGAAGGAGTGCCAAGTGGCAGAGTGCCAGCTCCCCTTTGTCCCTCCATCTTACCAGATTCCCTTTTACCTTCCTGAGGCAATGATTCAGGATATCACCTGGGCTGAATGGGAGGGGGAGTAGGTGCTGAGCTAAAGTTCTGAGGTAGGATTTTTTTGTGGTATTACTTCATCACTGGTGGTTAGCAGTGCAATCAATCATTTCTATAGTTTCACTGCTGCTCCACAGCTAGACTTAACACAYAGTATGGCCAGCTTAGAGTTGCCCAACCCCAACTGACTGCTGGGGTGGTAGAGTGGGAAAAAGAGAAGGCCTTGACCTTGTGCAAGCACTGCTCAGCAACAGCTTTGTGTTACCAACATGACTTTAGTTTGAGATGTGAAATACATCACCTTGCGTGTTGCTGAAAGGAAAATTAACTCCATCCAGCCCAACCCAGTAAACAGGTCCACTTATCCAATAGCTAATCCAAGACTAGCTCCTTGCATTTCTGTACAGCATCTTCTCAGGGTGGTTACTTCTTTCTGAAAGGGCTTTTTTTGCAGCAGGCAATTAGCCTGCTCCACAGTGCTCCCTTTCATTGAGGGAGCAGGGGATGTTAGCTCTTACTCTTTCAGTACATAATGGGGATATAAAGCAAAAATGAGCCCTTTCTGTGACAGTGTTCTGCTGATTGAGCAGCCAGTGTTGGAGACAACATACTTAATGTGCCCTCAGGGCATGCACTTTAGTGGTTTGCTCTGAGTGATTATGATGTATTCTATGAATGTATGTTATAGAGTCAGAATAAAATGCATGTAGCAGACATATACTCATGACCATCTAGTGAGCATTTAGTTTCAGAGTGCATATTACATGCTGTATTGAATATGGCACAGTCATTTTAAGAAACAACCTTAACATTTATAAGTAGATACCTAACAGCATTCCTGTTTTTTTAAATCATGGCTTGGCCTGTGCAGATACTGTTTACTAAATCAAAGTATCACTAGCCCATTGTTTCTTGAATAGCTTGTGTCACATTATCAACACAGAAATCCAATTTCATCTTTGTGGAAAAAATACCAAACAACAAAACAACCCTTGTGTTTCCCAGCACAAAACCCAACAGGCTTATTTGAAGCATTTCTTGCACACAGCTTCTTTGTTGGGATGATGGAAGTTTACTCTAAGTATTTCATTTTCAAATGCTCTTCCAASTATTTAATCTCTGCTGTTTTTTCCATCACATGATAAGACTATGGAGACCAGTGAATCTGTATTTCTTGTGTTCTGTATCAAAAACTGTTCTCAAGGTTTTTTTCTTTTATATTTAAAGAGACTCAAGAAAAGATGAAACTTGTGATGTGGGTCACTCTTGTGATGTGGGTCACATATAAAAGGCAAAATTTCTCATCTGGGATGGAGCTGTGATGAGTCTTGCAATCTGATACAATCAAGCCAAAGCTCCTCAGAGACTAGGATTATGAAAATAATTCTAGGGACAATTGGTAGCATGACTCAATCTGAAAATACCCATTTGGAGGCTAAGCTATCTGGCACTCATTTGATAGGCATCTGTTAAAATGGAACTAGAAAAAATCAGCAAAGGCCCATCAGATTCTACTCTTGTCTCATGGAGGTGAAGTCATCATAGTGTGATGAGCAGAATTTGGTGTTATAAGCATTTGGTACTTTCYTGTAGAAACATGAAACTCCCCTTAGAACAAAAGTTGCAAAAATTCAGTGCAAAAGTACCAGCTGACTTAACAGAACTAGCCTGATTTCAGTAATATTAAAGACAGCTATTGCCTCAAGAATGTGATGGAAGACACTGGCAGCATAGGTGGCTGCCATTCCTCGAGTGTACCACATCTCCTCTCTGGCCTGAGTGGGAACAGGGGCAACTAGGGAGTTATTTCAGAAAGGTTTGGTGAAATTAGGAAGCAGACTACTTATGGAACCSGGCAGAAGTGGTGCTGGGGCGGTTTCCAACTGGGAGCAGGAGTTCCCACTAAAATCATGGTTTTTAACTCTCAAATACCACATGTGCACCATATTAATATTAGTTAGRTCCCTCCCTGCTGCTTAAACTAAAATGGGAGAATATTTCTCATTTGAAAAAGAGTACTAACATACAATTTCATAGTGTCTCCTAGGGGAGTGATGGAAGAGAAAATAGAAAGGTGGTTTTGTTTCTAATGTAGGCCGGAAAGCAGCTGCCAGGAATTAGGTGGAGAGCAGGTAGAAAATATTCCACTGGATCTTCACTAATTAAGAAAATTCATATTCCAATTCAGACATGTCACAGCAACATCTCCTGTGTCCTGCTTCTATTTTACTCTGGAGCTCTTCAGAGCAAAATGAAGGTGGAATCCTATACGTATATAAAAGAATTATTTCTATATTGTGTTGCTGATTACAGAAACTACCCTAAGGAAAAAGGAAAATCTTCTGAACAGATTTTAAAGGCTTGACAGTACTTGCATTTTCATAGTCCATCCAAGTTTCATTTGGAAACAGATATTTCATCCTCCTTCACTCATACTTCTAACAGGGCAATCAGACCCCTGGACTGGCTTAGTGATTTACATTGAACCAAGATYAACTAACAAGTGCTCCTTTTTCCAGTGGAATGCCACCTCCTTTGAGAATGGGAAAAGTAAATGTGACACTGTTTATTGTTGTCTTGAGAACTTAAAATGTTTTATACTGCAAGCTGTGAATGCAGGAAGAGAAAAGAAATTAACAGTGCTGATCTAATCTTAGATTTTCTGTGTAAACTGACATTGTGCCAGGATACTGATGCAAAACTGTATTTTAGTCTAAGAAATGTATAGATTTTTTAATGTATCAAAATAAAGTTTTCCTTTTAAGTAAGAAATAAATTTCTGTGTCTTCCATGTGGTGTGCTTAAGCCCTGCTCTTTTTAGCAATGCAATCTTGTGCCCTGAGAAGCAAGCAGAGCCCACCCAAATTTTTGACAAAGTTTTACTTTGCTCTGTGCCTGCCCTTCAGCTGAGTAGCTGCAGTAATGCTGGACATCCTGCCCTGGTGCCAAGAAAAGCATTCTAATGCTAATGTTTTCCCAAGATGAGCATGTGAATGGGGTTTGGTGGAGCTAAGGCAGGATATTTTTCCTGCCTTTCTTCTCCCTGATCTCAGTGATCTTCTCTCACTGATCCTCAGACATGTGCTCCTCAGCTTCTCTCCAGTGTGTTGGAATCTGCCCCTTTAGGCCAATGGTTTTAGCCATCACCACGTTCCTCAGCCTGTCTGACAGGGTCTGYATGTGCTGAGGGTCAGTCACTTACAGACACAGCTGGAACCTTCATTGTGGAAGGGGAGGCTGTGGTCACACATGCACAAGAGTCCTTGCAGGACGCTCAGGGCTCATATAGGTATCTGGAGCATACTGACTCATAACATCTGCTTTGCCTTACCGGGACAACTACGGGGCAATGAAGAGTAGGAAGGCATGAAGGAAATCTTGTTATGCATTATGAGCCAATGCAAATTACATATCCCAGAACAGCACCTCTTGTGGCATCACTTACTTGCTTTGCAAGGTCCTGAACATGCTCCCCACCCTGCACAGCTGTTCTAACAAGCTTGGATGGCTAAAGATGGGTGGTGAGTAGAAGCAATAACAGAGACACATGCAGTTGCAAAGATTCCTTCTTCTCTCCATCCCATTGGCACAGCAAATTCCTGCTTTCTTTGCTGCCATTTTTTTTACTCTCATACACTAATGCACTAATAAGCCAAGCTGAACCGTGTCTTCTGCTTCTATTACTGAAAATCACTTCAGCACTGCCTTTGTAAAAGACAGTTTACTTTATCTGGAAACTACTGCCAGTTCTGAAACAGAAACTGATGCTGTTGTGGCAATCAGTCAATAACATCAGGAGGAAAAGGAATAAGCCATAAGGCCMTAAGGCAGTACCTGTGCACACAGGCAGGGTCCCATGCTGTGGACCCAGAGTGTTTTGCTGCACATCAGTGTTCTGCAGCTCCTCTGCAGGTACGCCTCCTTGGCTCAGAGTGTCTATTTCATGGTTTATTAACAGTGATGCTCCTTGGCTAGATGGGTTTGGTTGCATGGAGCAAGAGAGACTCCAGAGATATCCTTCATCAGTAGAAGTGTTAGGGGCAGGAGGCTTGTAACATAAAGGTTGGGTTGTAATAATCCTGTCTGGTTTCCACTGATTTGCCTGTGTCAGAACTGCAGAACAGGAACTCTTTGGCTTTCTTCACTCTCATTAGCAGAGATCAATGCAGTTTCCCTCAGCTCTGAAACAAGAGTTTCATGACTTATAGGGAAAAAAAAAAAAAAAGCACCTAAAGGTGGGCTGCAGAAGACTAGTAAGAGATGCATWTGCTGGGAGAACTGAATGGGACATTCCATGGGACTTGGAAGGAAAACTTTAGGGTCCTGTGTTGGAATGTGGAAGCAAAGCMTGCCCTCCTGCTGTGGGAAGGGACCTGGAGACAGGGGACTGGAGCTGCAGAAGCACGATTCTTCCTTCAACCACACAGCAGYTCCCACTGCCAAGACATTCTGCATGCAATGGGCATGTACCTCTGAGCACTTAGCCTCAGGACTCTGTCCCTCCTGGCATTGGCAACTGCAGAACAGCACAGGCAGATGCTTCCTCAGAGCCCTGCTCCCCRAGTGGCCCTGCTGTCCCTCTGGAGAGGAAGGACCAGTCTCCTTGCCTGCACAGCTGCTTGGCTGCTGAAGGAGCTCTCCTGCCRTGGGTAGAGGATGGGGCCCTCTGTATGCAGCATTTAATGGGCAGCAAACGGGCTCCTTCTCTGAGCCAGGGAGACCRGATCCTGTGCTGCTGGAGTCAGCCATGGCTCCTTCCTGCCACTGCAGGCCACTGAGGAGCTGACCCAGTTTTAGTCACTGGTATTTAGATGCTTAATGAAGATTAGCTAGTGCCCAGGGAGAGATTATTTAGGATTTCTAATTACTATTTAAATTTCGAATGTGTGAAAGTGATAGAGCTTACACTCCCACACAGAGAAAAACTGAAAAGGCTGTTTTTCTGACACCTGCTGCCRTAATCTTCATTTAGTGCTTATTCTTGTTTACCTTAGATACACTAAAAATAAAGTGAAAGAAAATCCAGCACCAGTGCAGATTTTCTGAGACCCCTGCCAGAGCAGTCAAAGCTAGAAATAAAGCTTCTGACAGAAGCTACTGAATTGTATCTCACTACCTCAGCTGGCAGTACTCAAGTGGGAGAGAAAGAAATGGGTGAACAGGTATTTCACACTGAAGTCCTCTAAGAAGAAATCACAGGACTGAACCCTGTGCCCTACCAAAAAAAAGAAAAAAGTCTRCCAAAGTCCCAGAATTAGTGGCAAGATGTCACCTGGTTTTAATTCCTTTTTTGATTGCTCTTGTATTCTCATTTTAAATACTACGTCCTGAATACAAACCTTGGACAATAAGCATTTGCTACAGATGGAGCACGGTGGTCTGGCCACTTCTCCTGATTGCAGAGCCCACCATGTCCCCCCATCTTTGCCCCCAGGTAAGAGAGGCACCTGCCTGGGGCCAACACACTGCTGCTCCACTACAGACCTCCTCTGTAGCCTGGGACTCCACACTTGCTGTCCTTTCCTCAAAGATGGGGATGCCATGAAGGCTGAGTACATTGAAGATCAGTCAGCATTCGGATACTGCAAAAGGACACATGAACAAAATCGGGGCAGGTAAGGCTGTGTGRGAAACCGGGATCCAAAAATGCCTCTCAGCAGCTGCAAGAGGCAATGAATTGGGTGGAAAYTGCACCCCATGCAAGGGAAGTGATACAGACGTGAACACCTCAGATTCATTCCTCATTCCTCTTCTGATAGTTAAAATATCTGAAAATTCAGTCCTCCACTAGTAAATCTCCGCCAGTACTTYAGTGGGTCCTGGTAGTTCACTGTGCCTGCTGTCTGCAAGTAGGAACATCCACTTGTTGGAAGGTCTGCTGGGTCTCTTTCAAATATCTCAAAACTGCCTAACCCTAGTGACAACAAACATAACTTTAGTGCCTTATATTGAACATTGCCGAATGAAGTAAAGGGATTTCAAAGCATGAATTTGCTGCCTGTTCTGAAAGGTTGGGTAGGAGGACTGTGGAGGAGTTCTTCCATGCAAGGAGCATCACAGTTTACTTTTGAAAGCTGTGGTGTTGGATATGTGCATTATRGGACAACACAAGGACAAGAAAACCTCACAAGGGTCTGTATTGCATTGCAGCAGAGGACCMGTCTGCCAGAAAAGCATGTGAGGTTCACACTGTTTATGACGAAGATGAAGCTTGACAGCTTTATAAAAATATAATTTGCTCCCCCAAAAAAACAGCATAAGCATTAGCTGGTCTGAATTTCCCAGAATATGCACAGCTTGAAAAGCTATTAGGCTTCTTAAAGAAATAATAAAAAATCAAAGCTTGAAGAGTGTAGGAGAACTATACAGAAGCCTGATTTTCTGTTCACTGTGTTCATGGGCCAGGGCCTCCCACCTTTCCATAATCACCCTCTGAATTTACTTGGAGAATAGCACATAACAAGGCAAGTGAAAAGCACACATTGAGGTTTTGAGCCGTGGGGGCAAACCAACTCTTGTTTGAAGCAAGCTGAATATCTRATATGTGGCCACTTAGAGTGGTTGGTCTCCAGAAGGGCTCCAGCCTTGACATAGTGAAGGAAGTAGGGGGAAGGAGGGAATGGACTGATAACCTGCCAAGCCAGAGGCAGGACATTGATTGGGGTAAGTCCCAGCAATGGCAAAGCCTTGTTTGGTGTCCAGGCTGCTGTAGAGGAGCCTTGTGTTTGTATGTTGTAGCTCTGCCCACTCCCACTGAGGTCTGCATATGTTTTCCAGCTAACCTTTSTGGAGGGATCAGGCTGGAAAAACARTAAGTGGGAAAAAGACAGTGGAAAAGCCACTATGGAAAGGGCAATAAGCAGAAATTAGGTGCCAGAACTCAGGGACCCTCCTCAGAAGTACACTGCTGGAAAGCTTAGAGGGGGTCCAAGAGTATTATCTATTCCATGCTTACCAGAGGGATGGCAGTGGAATGTTTGCAGAGTGAGAATTTGTACTTGCCTCTAGCAATTACAACTGCTGTAATGAGCATGACTGCCCCTGGAAATTAAAAAAAAAACAAAACCCTAAGTTGCTTTGGCTAGAATTAAGCATTTGCATGGAGGTACTTGGAAAAGACTTATGAAGACAAATGAGCTCCTGCTGTCTGAGCATCGTTGTATTTGCCACAGAAGGAGCTTTTAGAGAGACCCTCCCTTGGCTTTCACAAGGCAGGAAAAGCTGTGTTTGCTGCCGGATCTCTCCAGAAGGCGTGGTAAGAAATTGTGCAGTGCTGCAGGCCAGGACTCAGAGCACCTTGGTGTGATAGTAGTAACCTGCATCAGGCAAGGGGTGCTGAGTATGTCACATGTGTCCAGATGTACCTGCGGTGTGCTTGTGCTGGTGGAAGCTATTAAAAATTATTAGTACTCCACACTGAAGTAGTCTACTCTTTGGAAAAAAAAATTTAAAAAAACCCAAAAAACAAAAACCAAGCAGCTGCTCCTGAGTCAAAGGGTTAATTTTTTTTTGTATCACAAAACCTAGAAAAATACAAAATTTTTGTATTCACTCTTCCAGATGAGTCCTGCCAACTTGTTCAGCCTAAGGGCACAGCTCAGCACAAGGCACAGGCAGCATCATAAGCCTAAACAGCAACAGCTTCATCTGCTATTCTGTTCCTWCCTTTGCAGTCACAATAATGAAATCCAGGGGGAATTAGAAGTATCCTGACTGCAGAGCCCATCAGCAAGCCATTGTAGTGTGGCTGTGAAATAAAGAGCCACAGAGTAGCAAGCACAATT